ATTCAGGGCCTGGAGGCAGCTCCACTTTAAAAGATTCCAAATCCATGAGCCTCATTATCAGGTCTTAAACTGTGCGCCGCTCCAAGGAAGTGGATTGAGTAAACATGATCTCCGTCACTTTTAAAAAGGCAGAGTTGCGCTTTAATTACTCAGAACGTATCTGAGTTTTTGCATAACTAGGCGACGAGCAGTGATGAGAGCTGTTCAGGAGAGGCAACACCGTGAGCTTTTCCGAGCAGATCCCAGAAAAGAATGCGGGTCACTTGAGTTCAGAGAGACGTAAGGAAAAAAATGTGGGACGAGGAGGAAAAGAGATATGAAGTGGCTGAGCTTCTTTTTCTGACTCATGATGTCACAAGAACGATCAAATCTGTGGCACACAACAGTTACAGAGTGAGACAGAGATAATTCGAGAGAGAAATATATAGTTAGAAAGATAATTTGAGAGAGTTAGTGATAATTTGAGAGAGTGTTAGATAATTTGTGAGAGGTTAGAGAGAGTGACAGAGAGATAAATTGAGAGAGTTATAATTTCAGAGAGGGTTAGTTAGTAATAATGTTATTAATAATTTGAAAGTGAGTTAGTGATAATTTGAAAGAGGGATATAGTTGGTGATAATTTGAGAGTTAGTTTAACTGAGAGATATAGAGTTAGAGATAATTTGAGAGTTAGTAAATTAGTAATAATTTGAGTGAGAGTTAGATCATTTGAGAGTGAGTGAGTGAGTGAGTTAGTGATAATTTGAAAGAAGGTTAGTTGGTGAAAATCTGAGAGTTAGTTGATTTGAGAGATATATAGTTAGAGATAATTTGAGAGTTAGTAAGTATAGTAATAATTTGAGAAATATAATTTGAAAGTGAGTGAGTTAGTGATAATGTGAAAGTGGGTTAGTTGGTGAAAATCTGAGAGTTAGTTGATTTGAGAGATATATAGTTAGAGATAATTTGAGAGTTAGTAAGTATAGTAATAATTTGAGAAATATCATTTGAAAGTGAGTGAGTTAGTGATAATGTGACAGTGGGTTAGTTGGTGATAATTTGAGAGTTAGTTGATTTGAGCGATATATAGTTAGAGATAATTTGAGAGTTAGTAAGTATAGTAATAATTTGAGAAATATCATTTGAAAGTGAGTGAGTTAGTGATAATGTGAAAGAGGGTTAGTTGGTGATAATTTGAGGGTTAGTTGATTTAAGAGATATACTGTATAGTTAGAGATAATTTGAGAGTTAGTAAATTAGTAATAATTTCAGAGAGTGTTAGATCATTTGAGTGTGAGTGAGTGAGTGAGTTAGCGATAATGTGAAAGAGGGTTGGTTGGTGATAATTTGAGAGTTAGTAAGTTAATAATAATTTGAGAGAGAGTTAGATCATTTGAGAGTCAGTGAGTGAGTCAGTGAGTGAGTGAGTGAGTGAGTGAGTCAGTGAGTGAGTGAGTCAGTGAGTGAGTGAGTCAGTGAATGAGTGAGTGAGTCTGAGTGAGTGAGTGAGTGAGTGAGTGAGTGAGTCAGTGAGTGAGTGAGTGAGTGAGTGAGTGATAATGTGAAAGAGGGTTAGTTGGTGATAATTTGAGAGCTAGTTGATTTGAGAGGTTTAGATAATTTGAGAGTTAGTCAGAAAGTGATAGAGAGAGGGATAGTTAGTTAAAGAGAAGGTTAGTTGATCAGTCAGTTAGTTAGTGAGTCAGTTAGTTAGAAAGAGAGTTTGTTAAAAAGATAGAGAGAAAGTTAGAAAAAGATAGACAGTTCAAGAAAGACAGTAAGAGAAAGTGTTACAGAAAGACAGATAGAGAAAGATATGGACTAACTGACGGACGGACAGACAGATGCACTTTGCTAGATTAAAGTGGTGATATAGCTCATCCACTGACACATCTTACCCCAATCTCCCCATATATCTTAGCAAACCCATTACTCAACTAAACTACAGAGTTTGAAGTGCTCTGCATGACTTCTGACAGCATAATATTGGTCATAACCAAGGCAGAAATTGCAAAGACTCCTAATAACTTGGCACATGCCCAAATAATAAACCTGACAGCGCTGCAGTATGAACAATGGCTTGGGTCTTAATCAAATTTATAGACTTAATCACATTAGAAATCAAAGACGCCAACACAAACACGGCACATCTAAGGTGTTGTGTTATGAAACCTAAGTGCCATCAAAACGGGATAAAGCAGAAGTAAAGCCGGGGTAATTCAGCATTACAGTTTGGCTTGTATCCAAAGAGATATTCAAAGAGATATTCTTTATAAAAGTTAAGAGTCAGCCACGCCTACCTAAAACGGCTCGTTCTAACACGCCCCCATATGTCTATGTCACGATGTGGGAAGATTTGCATAACGCCGCCCAAATGTTCACGCAAAGAAAGAAGGCGAAACTTTTATTCTTGCTGTAGTATTGTTGCTGCCGCCATGTCGTGAAGGCGCTGTGTATTTCGTTGTGAATGCGAAACTACTTTGTTTGGCCTTCCAAAAGAGGACAATATCGCTTTGTCATGCCTATCTGCTGATCCGTGCTGGTCACTGAGGAAATACATCAACTTCGCGCTGCGGATCGCCAGATCGGCTTTCACCGTGGACGAAGAGGAGTCCAGCCCGGGGTCGTCACATGTGGTTGCCACAAGCCCTCCGGCCGCCACTCACTCTAGCCCTCCGTGTGTTTCGCTGTGAAAGCGAAACTACTGTTTGGTCTTCCAAAAGAGGACACGACTAGAAATCAGTGGTTAAGTTGTATTTACAACACTGTTCCAGAACAGTTCAAGAAAAGGAGCGGAAACTATTTCATTCTATATTCTGGTGCCTTTTATCCTTTTTTCTTTTGAGCAGTCTTTTAAATGAATGGACATTCTAAAAAACATTTTGCTTCAAGCTCTTTAGAAGAAATAACATCATATAGGTTTTGATAAAGCAATGTGAGCAAATAATGACAAAAATACTTAATGACTGGGTAAACCATTCCTTTAAAAAGCATTATCATTATTATCAGATATAGGGTTGTCATTAATAAAACAAAGTCCCTTTCATTTCGAGAATATCCTTTTTTTAAGACTCAGAGGGACTTCAGTCAAACCGACATCATTAAAGTCTTATTTTAAAACCCTCTGAAAAATCTCCGTTTTGAAAATGAAACTCGGAGGAACTGTTATCTTGCCCTTAGGCTCTTGAAAGATTCTGATATCTACTTAATGCACCATATGAGTTTCGAGATGACTTTCAATGGCACATTTAAAAAAAGGAAGTATTTTCACCCAAGTTTAAATTCAATCAGATAGTTACATAAAACATTCTTAAGGACACCTCGGAACGTCACTTTTTAATTTTACAGTTGACACGCCCCTAAACAACAGAAAAACTTCATGCTTTTACCCCTATCCGAATGTTCAAATAACCCATTATTTCCCAACCACTCCATCCAACTCTTCTTCATGCTTCATTAGACTAAAAAAAGGCTCTTGACTTTATAAAAGATAAGACAGGGCCGATATAAAGTCACCACCATGGCAACCGTAACTGTGTTAAGTGACTCTTATGCACAGGGATGAAGAGGCATCGGGTACTACAGCACTAGAGTACTGGATGTGTGAAGCATGATCGGCTTGCTTTGCTGGGTTTTGATGGCGAGAGAGTTCATGTAGGCCTTCAAACCCTTCTGAAAAACAAATATCAGAGATCAAGCACACTCTAATATTCCATATGAGCTTCTTCTGGGAGGAATGATGCATTTCAAGCTACTTCTCAATATTCCCATGCGAGGTCGACTCTGGTCTGAAGTACAGTATTTTTAGCTACGCAGACAATATCCAGAAATAATTTACAGATTATGCTAGTGCGCTTGACGTTTCGCTATATTTGCAGAGCGCATTACATGAGAAAACAAAGCTCAAACGAATGCCTCTCTGACATATACGCCTAAAGCGCTTCAGGCAACCAACCACTTCTGGGAGACAAAGAAGACAAAAAAGAGAACTTCAAAACCATGAAGGTTATTGATCAGCGTCATGCGTTCGTGTAAGAAGAAGCTCTGAGTGTTTTCTTAATCATATTATGGGCTGAAGCATAAGAAGTACCTTTTTGAAAGTGAGACTTCAGTGAAATTATATAACCATCTCTGCACGTTAGGCTTCCTTCAACTGTTTGATGTATGGAAGTCATTACATTTCGACTGACTCCACATCCACTTCATGAAGTTGATTAATTGCCATACTTGCCTGGTTTTGAGTCAGACAAAGGATCATTTCAAACAGACTTAACTTTTAACTCTATTCTGCTTTTTATAAAGCCTGATTTCTGTTGATCTACTTTCATCTTTCAACACATCCTGATCGTTCCTCTCTTTTCTTCTCTGGCCTCATCCACCGAGATTTCCTTTGTTATGCAGCGACAGTCAATCATAATTGACCTTTACACCTTTAGAGCAATTAGTATGCTGAGTGCTCTTAGTCCTGTTAAAGACAAAAGAAAAGCAAAACACGAGAATCCATTTTGCTGTAATGGTTACTAGAATTAAGAGCTCATTCTTTTCACCTAAAACATTTCGCACCTTCTGTTCGGATGTTTTAACGTGGCAATTGCAAGCGAGCTGGAAGTATGAGTATTATAATAAACCCCTTCGATCTGTTCATTCCAATACGTCATACCGGATTACCCTCATTCGCCTCACTCCACTAAAATATCAAACACACGTACAGCACACTGCAAACAGTGACCCAAATCAATTAGCCGTGCCCTAAAATCTAATCCTGCTGCACGGAGAGCGGCGCCGATTAAAGCCATCTAAAATAAACCTTATCATTTTCTCTTTAGACGAGGCATCAGTGATATTTACAGTTGACATAAAATGAAATATGATAAGAACACGGGGTTACCTGACTGGAATGGTACTAAAATACGACTTGAAGTCTCTGACAGGAATTATTTCTGTGGGATTTTGGTGTCTTTTGAAAACTCTGTTGACTTCTGCAGGATGTGAAAGGAAACAGAAGCTGCTTGGATACTCACCGAGTTGACTCTCAGAGGGAGGTTTGTCAGCGTCAAGGATCTGAGGAGAGAAGTTGAGAGAGGGATGATATTAGAGGTGTAGAAGGAGTGTTTACAAATGGACCAGGAAGTAAATAAAAGTCCAGCCTGGAGGCACTCAATACATCATTCGTTTTGACAAGACAATCCAGGCACTATTAAAGCATGTCAACAAATACCACCTAAACACTAAGGGAGAGAGATGGATGAGTCACACCCTATTCAGGCAATGATTATTCTTAACATGTAATGTTGTCTTCAAGTCCTCCTGGGAAGTTCTTACTGACAAGATCAGATGTCATGTTCAAGCGATTTTTGTTATAAAAATGGGTTTCTGGGGCAAATTTAATAGTTCATTTACTTGTTTGCATTTGAATAACTTTATAGGCAACACCAAAATGAAATACTAATATATATTGAGGTCTAAAAGTCTGACACAAATTGAAAAACTGGAATTCAAAACAAAAACTAAAATAAACACCTTTATCATTAATGAGAAAAAGTAAAATGGGGAAAACTTTATGTTAAGGATCTATTCTTACTATTAACTAGTTGCTTGAATGCGTATCATATTGGCTGTTTATTAGTACTTATAAAGCACATATTTATGCCTTATTCCGCATGACCATATTTTAGATCCCTTAACCTACCCCATATCTATACTATTAATAAGCAGCATATTAGGAGTTTGAGGGTTGAGAAAACTCTAGTTCTAATAGTGAATATGTTCCCTAATCTAAATTGTTACCATAAAATGTAATAATGAGATCTATTAATTATATAATTTATTCAGTGTCTGTATGTGTGTGTGTAACTTGAGATAATTTTGAAATTATAAAGATTTGTTTTTTATATTGTTTATTTTTATTTATTATATTTGAATATAATATATTATAGAATATAAAAACACAAATATTTGTCCAAAAATGAAAAATATATGTACTGTATCCATATAATATTCACATATAACAAATAATATATTACATTTTTCCATTGTTATGTCAAATTGAATTCTTTTTTAAATTATACATGATAAAGAACTGTTTTTATATTGTGTTATTATTACATTATTACATATACATATTAGCAATATATAATTTAATATAATATGTAATATAATTATTATATATCCTAGAATACAAAAACTAATCATTATTTAGCATTTCAAAATTAATTCAAGTTGACATAAAAAAAGAAAAACTATATGTGCTGCATATACTGTATATATACAAAGTATATACCTATGTATATGTAGTATGTATATACAAAGAATATCTGGAGTTTCCCCAATAGTAATTACGACACTGAGGTGTTGTTCGTTTATGCTAATCTCGTAAATACGATCATTCCGACATGAAGCCAGAATAAGTCTCCCTGTATGCATAAATTTGCCGTTTAATTACATTTCTAAAAGAAAAACAAAATGTGGAGAGGATCCTCTGGATTGTTTGAACTAATAAATCATGATTCACCATGTCATTAGCTCCTGCGAATTGTGTGGTTTCGGTGCCCGGAGCTGATGCTGTTCTAACCTTGAGCTCTCAGCTCAATTAGGGCATTAGGAGGCTCATTGTGCCACCAGAGCTGTCAGCGCTGCCAGCCGACTGTGGAGGAAAGAGTGAATCGATCACACTTCCTGTTGCAAACTTTGAACGAGCCTTCCCCGCTCAACTCAAATCTCACGTCCTTAGGGACACGAGGACAGAAGCGAGCAAATTCTAGCAATAGTCGATGCTCTCCCTAGTCATATTGTGGTATATTAGAGGATAACGAGGAAAAAAGGAAATGGCTTTTGATTTATTGCAACCACTCTGCTAACAATTACTCTAGTCCTGAGCTCCAAGGAGCCCTCGGAGAGCACAGTTTAAACAAGTCATATATCTTTACACAGGGCAAAGCGTGGCACATCATTACAGTGAGAGGGAGAGGCTGAATCATCAATGTGACGTTGTGAATCATGGCACGGTTAGGGGTTCAATCCACGGCAACCTGAAGAGGATTCTGAAGCCCCAAAGGACCAGGAAAAGCAAAGACGGGCTGGCTGTGATGAAACAGCCACCTCCACTTGTATCATCACCACCCCAGGTTTCCCATCACCGTCCTTGCACCAAATACACAATGGAAGTGTATAGCTAAGAGAAGTGGTGAGATCTGGTGATAGTCGATATAAGACAGTACTTCCTTCATCTGGATCTAATCAGATTGGCTGACTTAACACAATTTCTTGGTATACACTAATATTTTGATGTTTGGGGTCAATAATATATATTTAATATATTTTTAACATGACAGTAAAGGCATTTATAATAATATTTCAAAAGGTTTGTATTTCAAATAAATGTTGTTCTTTTGACCTTTCTATTCATCACAGAACCCTTAACATAAATGTATCAACGTTTTGACCAGTTTTAAGCAGAACAACCATTTTCAACACTGACATTAATGAGAAATTATTCTTGAGCAGCAAATCAGTATATTGAAATAATTTCAGAAAAATCATGTGACACTGGAGACTGGAGTAATGATGCTGAAAATTCAGCTTTGCCATCACAGAAAAAAAATTACATTAAAAATAACGTTTTACAATACTGCTCTAATGTATTTTTGATAACATTCCCCTTTTAACCCTAAAAAGGGCAAGCCCATATAGATACATTGGAAAATTAATTTATTGCTATTTTCCATCTTATTAGGACACAAACAACACAAATTCGCATTTTTTATGTTTGTATCCCCCCGGATACATCGCCCCTTTGGGGGTATAAATAATGTGTTTTTGTTGAGTATCATATTTTATAAATATACATATGTACATATAGGCCTACATATGTATGTGTGTGTATACACGTCTGAAAAAAAATCCATGTATTGTTGACCTAAAACTATATTCAATATTGCTAACTAAATGATTACATTTTTATATGATTGAAAATAGATTAGTATTTAAGAGTTTTAAGAATTGAACTTATTTTCTGAAGTAGGCAACACAGTCTAAAATCTGTAGACCACAGAGTCTATGTAAAAAAAAAAATATCTTGATTTATACCCTAAAAGGGCAACATATCTCCTGAGATCCAAACATTTACAGGCAGATTATGAAAAAATTTAAAAATTAAATTCATAAAATTTCAACACAAACATAATAAGCTAATGCTTAGCAACTGTTTAAACATGTAACTCCCCTACAAATATTGGAAATATGTGAAATACATCAACTTTTATATGAGGGTGAGTATCTTCCCATGATGTTTTTAAACGCTGCCTGTGAGCTAAACAAAAACAATGTATGAACAAAGTCATCAAATCTAAACCACAACCCTTTCAACATGAAACCAAGAAATGACACTTTCACTGCCTCTCCCCACAAACTCTCAAATGTTTGTATGCATCCTCCAGGATATGTCACCCCTTTTAGGGTTAAAAATATTTTTGTATCCCAAATTTTTGAATGGTACTTCCAGGTATTTTTTATCAGTTTGCCTGAAGTTACCCAGTTGAAACAAGCACTTCTTAGGATGAAATAGGCTAATCACTGGATTTGCCAAAGCTTGCAACCTTAGTGGCATCAAATATTTGAAAAATATTCATAGTTTATACCATACCAAATTAGCAAGTTAAAGGGGTCATATGATGCGATTTCAGGTTTTCCTTTCTCTTTGGAGTGTTACAAGCTGTTCGTGAATAGATAAGATCCCTAAAGTTGCAAAGACTACATTTACATTGTCATTTAGCAGACGCTTTTATCCAACGCGACTTACAAATGAGGACAATGGAAGCAATCAAAATCAATAAAAGAGCAATGATATACAAGTGCTATAACAAGTCTCAGTTAGCTTAACGCAGTACATGTAGCAATGTTTTTTTTAATTATATAATAAATAAAAAGAAAACAGATAGATTAGAAAAAGAATAGAGCAAGCTAGTGTTAGAGGTATTTTTTGCTTTTGTTAATTGTATAATAAATGAAAAGAAAACAAGCAGCAAATGAATAGAGTGCAAGTCTAAAAGTTTTTTTTTTTTAAGAATAGAATTAGAATAGAGAGTGCTAGAGTTAGAGGGTCAAATAAATGCAACAAATGCCTCGTTTGTAATGGTTTTTATTGGTGTTGTCTCATCGCGCCGGGACACGGCATCACAGTATGGTAAGGGGCGTAACATTTCCATCACACGTTTGAGGTATTCGGCCAATCACAACGCATTGGATAGCTGGCCAATCAGAGCACACCTCGCTTTTCAGACCGATGAGCTTTGTAAAAATTGACACGTTTCAGAAAGGCGGGGCATAGAGGAGAAACAATAATGTACAATATATGGAAAATTTGTTTTTTGAACCTTAAACCGCATAAACACATTTCATTACACCGAATACACAAAATAATGTTCTTTTTAGCAACATCATATGACCCCTTTAAGTAAATAATCATGAGCAGATCATTAATTATCACTCATAAATGGCTAGAAATTCAGATCACACATTCTAAACACATTTTACTGTTTTTCGGTATCTAAAACTGATTGCAGAGAATAATGAGGCACTATTTAAATGATTTATCTTTCACACAGGTCTGATCTATTACAGACAAACTAGCTTTAAATGTCAATAAGACTTTGACTTTAAGTAGGTCCTTGCCAGAAGGGAAAAAAAACAAACAAAAAAACCGCTACATTCCACACACAGGACTTTCAAAATTACATCTTTTCAAAATCGACTAGTTAGTGGGATGTCTGAAAGTCAGTCAAAAAGCCCTGTATAATTAGGCTGGTTTATGTCCACCAGAGACCATCAGATGTGCTCCTGTGGATAAATTGATACTAAGTGCACACCTTCAATAGGTTAACTGACAGATATTAAACAAATAAGTAGGCAAAATAACAACCATAACCTTTAATTGCACAAAACTACCACAGTCCTCACAAAAAAACTATGCACATTAATAATAAGAACTCTGCACACACCAGGTGAATTTGAAATCCGACAGTAATTGTCTTGAAATGTACTGTCGAGGCTGGTGAATTTGTTAC